TATTATATTATTATCATAAAAATACTGCTGCAATCGTCAAAATTTGCTGTTTTCGATCTTTCTTGTCCTGCTTTTAGTTTGTGTAAGATTTAATTTTCAATAGATTCAAAAATTTTCTATGGAACTTATTTTCCACAAAATTATTTGAACAATGTTATAAAAAACTGATGTATGGCAGTTTGCACATTATAGATTCTACTAGTATTACTACGAATTGCAGAAATAAAACAAAATGATACAATAAATTTTTGTAGACATTTTTGATACTTTTTTTCATTGATACAGTCAAGTAATTATTGAGATTTTAAGCAAACTCAATAATATATCGCTAAATGTAATAAACTGGCAATTTCTGTGTTACAGAAGTTTGTTTAACTTGTTTCGAACGACTCGTTCACGGTCGGGCAGTAATAACTGCAACATTGTGTCACTTCGTCCAGATCCATGCTGTTCATCGTCTAATTCAGATCCACGGTAAAACTTTATTACTGTAACTAGAAATGAGCATAAAATTTGTATTATTTTCAAAAATATTTCTCTCTTAATATGAGGAAGCATTTTATTTTTTTTAAAGAAAGTCCACAACTTTATTATTGTAATTAGAAACTGTAAGTGATAATTAATGCTATTTTCTGTATAAGGATAATATATTCGTCATGATTTGATATTTTCACTTCTTAAGATTTAGGTCTACATTAAGTTCAATGGAAGAAAAGCGTAGTTCATCAGTTAGTCGCCGACGACGACCACGTTCAGCACATCTTGACCCCAATACTTTAGTTTTTCCACCGAGAGTGAGCATTTTTCCACCAATTACTATTTAAACTTCAAGCAGAAATCTCTAGTCTAAATTTGTATAATTTCTGATTGTGGATTCATGTTCTGTTTTCATTTGATGGAATCCAAAATCTGAGAAACAAATATTAATTTTCTTCAAAATCTAATTTGCTGAATATATTTGCTCACATAAAACGTTCTTAATTTGATATAATATTTAGTAAATAAGACTTCATTAAAATCGAATATTTCAATATCAATTTATTGGGGAAAATAAAAGGTAAATTGAATGCTGTGTACAGAAAATAGAAATATTGCAGGAAATGCCAGTACAAAATATTAATGAATTATATAGGCGAATTGAAAAATTGGGTGAAGGAAGTTATGCGGTTGTGTATAAAAGTGAGAGCAGGTATGACTCTGTGTAGCTTTTGAATTCATATTAAAACTTTCATTTAGAATTTATCATCGGAATATTTTTTTTTGCTCTTTGACCTCTTTGAATCATACATGCTAGTATATTTCTGAAAATTATTTTGTTCTAGTAAATTTTAGGCAGAAAAAATGTTTATGGAATAAAACTTTATATCAAGTTTCAATGTTTTATAATACTGTGCGTATTAATTTTTTTTAAACACAAATTATTGCTAAAACTTAGTGATAGCTACAATTATTACTAAATTGAGCACATTTTAATTATAATAAAATGGAATAAAAATTGTTTACAATCTATTTTGTGTTTATAAATTTAAACACTGTAGAAGTGATGGAAGTATTGTCGCATTGAAAGAAATAAAAATTCATAATCAAGAAGGGCTGCCATTTACTGCCATCAGAGAAGGTATACAAATATATTCTGCTAATATTTTTTTGATTAATGTTTGTAACTGTTTTTTTTTTCAAAGTATTTTGATGCTAAAATATGATGAGATTATTGCAGAACTACTAAATATTGAAAAGTTTTTACCATATTTGATTTTCTATGCATATTTCTAAATATGAAATGATCTTTTATATGCTTCAAAACTATTTATATTAGCTATTTTTAGTACTATTCAATTTGTATTTACATAATTATAAATAATCAGTTTCCTTTTATCGCAAAAATTATATATGTATATATATAATGATAGTGGCAATAAGCAAAATAATTATAGCGATAAAAGGAAACTCTAAAAGTATCAGAAAAGTAAATTGAAGTTGAATTAATGATTTATGCAAGAAAACTTTTTTGTCTTCTCAGTTCACGGCATTTTTATTCATTGACAGGAATGAAAATTTTTGCGCTTAATTTAATTTCTTTCATATATATTTATTTAGCCTCACTGCTACGTGCTTTACGTCATTCTAACATCGTTACTTTGCACGACATAGTGCATGAGCAGAATGCATTAATTTTTGTTTTTGAATATATGGTGGGTTTTACTTTTTATTTTCTCAAGAATATTTCCTTTCTATCAGTTACAACAACGGAAGATAATTAAAATAAATTAATCGCAATGACGGAATCAATAAATGAATTACAATTTTTAAAAATTTTTTTGCTCAAAGTATTGATAGCCAGCAAATATGCATACTTGAAGTGATAACCTATAATTTCAGTAATTCTATGGTTGAATGTCAAGAAATACCAAGAAATATTGATTTATATAAATGTTATGCCTGACTTTTTTTAGAAAACTGATTTAAGTAAGTATTTGGAATTGCATAGTTCTGGACTCGAGCAAATGCAAGTGCGAATATTTTTATTTCAATTACTTCGAGGTCTTGCATTTTGCCATGCGAAGAAAATTCTGCACAGGCAAGAAGTGTATTCAATCATTTGAAGATATAACTATTTGCCCTTTCATTTTGAATTGAATACTTTTTCGATTTATTTTTTTCTGAAAAACTTAAAAAAATTTGCCCAACTTTTATAGAACTTTTTCTAAATTTATAATTAATTGCAAGTAAAATTTTTATTAAAAAAAAATATTCCAGAGACTTAAAGCCGCAAAACTTGCTGCTAAATGATAATGGTGAATTGAAATTGGCTGACTTTGGATTAGCTCGTGCGAAATCTGTTCCGAGTCGAACTTATTCCCACGAAGTTGTCACTCTTTGGTTCGTGACTCCGAATCATACTCTTCGCTGTCATAATTCAACTTTTTCATTTTAAAAAAGACGAAATTCAAATTTGATATATCATAGTAGCTGTGAATTTTTTATAATTTGTCTGTCTTTGTGTTAAGCAACACATTTTTTCGCTTTTTGAAATAATTTTTTTAATTTTAATAATGTAACACTACAAAATTTGCGAGATTTTGAATATTTATTTTCAATTGTCAAGTCAGTAATTATGTAAGATTAATGGATGTGTTTAAATTTTCAATATAAATTGCAATACGTTCGACCATTGCTATCACAGACCAAAAGAATTTTATACATTACTTTAATATGAATTTGTTGCTCTTTTTTGATTTATAAGTAATATTATGTCAATAATTGATAATAATGTTTAAAAAAGTCAAGTATAAATTTTTTTCAGGTATCGACCACCAGATGTATTATTAGGCTCAACAAATTACTCAACATCACTCGATTTGTGGTATCTCATAAATATTCAAACAATTTTAAAAATTGATATTTTTCAAATTTATAAAGTTTTATCAACAGTCAATATTTAAATGAAATTTTTTGTGCAAAGTAAGCATGAATATTTTTAGGGGTGTTGGATGTATATTTGCAGAGATGTGCACAGGTGCAGCACTTTTTCCAGGTACAAAAGATATCACTGATCAACTGGATAGAATATTTAGCATAAGAGGTAGCAATAAATTTTATTTAGCAATAATAATTTGTCATTTTTAAGAGCATCAATTATAAAAAAGAAAATCTAAAAGTAATAATTTATAGGTGTACCAAACACAAAAAAATGGCCAGAAGTCTTGAAATTGCCACATTATGCATCCAACTTTTATCCACCTTACGAAGAATTAGCATGGGAAGATGTGCACAAATCTCTATTACAATTAAAAAATGGCCAGTCATTATTATCACATTTTTTACAGGTAAATAAATACAAATTTAACTCTTAAAAATTCATTTTCTAATTTTTCAGTAAACTTTTTGTAATTTAAATTTAAATTTAAAAAAAATTGAAAAGATAATTTTTTTTCAGCATTTTTTACTTTTAATTTCCAAATTAATATTACTTATTATTTGTAACTTTTATCATTTAAAATTAATTTGATCATTTGATTAACTTTTAAGCTAAATCCATCAGATCGGATATCAGCGAATGGTGCAATGATGCACCCATACTTTGCTTGCTTTCCTTCCAGTATTCATCTCTTGCCACCAACAGTTTCCATCTTTTCGTTACCTGAAATACGATCTCTTCAGTACTCAAGTCTTCTACTTTAAAAGTAATACTAGTAGTAAAATGATCTATCAAATGCTCAATTAATTGATATTTAATATTTTGTCATGCACAATTTATTGGAATTAATCAAAAATTATTATCTTTTAAATTAATTTTCAAAGTAAAATTATTCATTTCATTTATGCCATTTATTACTGAAAATGTACACTTTGAACACTTCTATTTTTCTCAAACAACAAGAATTTTTGCACGAATTCCATTCTAATTATTGAAAACGAAAGTAATGCATTCTCAATATTATTATGCTTTAGGCATTTTTGAACGTGTAACCATATCAGAATTTGAAATTAAAGACTTGAAAAGATTTGTATTTAAAAAAATAACTACTTACTTATTTATAAGCCAATATTGTTGATTGAACTTTACGAACTTTAATTAAATTTTCAGATTTTAAAAATATTCTGCAATTCTCATTCAATAATCTCCTTAAACAGTGTCTTGTAATTGTATTTGTTATGTAATTGAATCATTAAGAACTAAGAAAAATTCTCATTTGTGTTTTTGTATTTTAGTCATAAAAATGATTTATGTTTTGTGGGAAACAAAATAGTCGCATACTTCATTTAAAAAACATTTTACTTTGCACTGTAATCAGCTAATAGCTTTCAAATAAATAAGCGAGTATTTATTACATTTGCATTAAATTTGTTATGCAAATAAATTAATCCCTTTATTGAGAAAATAAAGTGCTGCTTTAAAACAAACATAGTAAGACTTGAAATTAGCCTGAATAATATTTTCAAAAAATTTGGAAACATTCAAATTTTGTCGAGAAGCAAATTATCTTTTCAAGTGTGCGAATTGTGTTTGCAAATTTTTTGGAGCAAATTAAGCAACATTTCTCCACTCAGACTTGATTATATTTGATAGAAGTTGTAGTATCTGATGCTCATATTGTTCATTTTCAATACTTTCAACTTTGTAATTTTTTTCTGATGCCAAATACAATGCATTTTATTTTATCTGCGAGGTAATAATAAATATTTCACGCAAAGGATGTTGTGGACAAATTATGTATAATAATATAAAAAGTTTTTATAAATGATGCAAATTCAATTTCGAAGCACTTAAAGTTAGTACTGTAATTCTTGCATTTTGAGATTTGCTTCGAAAGTATTATGAAAATAAAAAAGTGAAACTTTGTGAATAGCATTACGTTAAGTTTAATTACTAGTTTATAAGTTATTGTGTATATATATGATTTTCTGTAATATGTTGAATTGAAATAAAGCTTAAAGTAGAATAAACAAGTCTGCTATTCTTTTAAATATGCAAAATAGCTATGAAATTGCAATATGACTTTTTTGAGTAATCGAAAATAGCAAATTTAAGTTTAAAGTAAATGTTAAGCGTAAAAGCATAATTATGAAAAGTCAACTATACATTAATAATTAATTTTCAATAAGCTGAAAAAAATTAATATAATTAAATGATATTAAAATGTTTATTAACAGGTATAAAGTTCTTTGAGCAAATTTTCATATGATTGCTTTTACTGATGAATTCACTAAATGCATATTTTCATTAGTATTTCATTTTTTTAAAAGATGAAACTTGAAGAGCAATCAGTTTCCCAAATATTGCACCATCCCTTCATTTTTTCAAATAAATTAATAAATGCCAATATGGAAATTAGATGAATTATTAACCTTTATAACAGAGCAAAAAATGACAAATGTTCAAGTATAAAAATTTAAAGTTAAATAAAATACAATGTAAAAAAGCGGGAAAGAATGATTAAATTTGTCATTTAATTGTAAAATATGTCAGCGATGTGAGATTTTAGATTTGTATCTCTGAAGTAGCATTAATTTCCAGTCTTGAAACTCACAGAAATTATGCTGAGCATTAAGACTTTAATAATTCATTTTATTTTCTACTGAATTTCTCAACTAAACCGTAGCAGTATATTCTTGACCCCATGTAGTGTAAATTTATAGTAGATTAATGTGATATTTTAAGGTCAAAACAAACAATTAAATCATTTTGATCTTGCAATCCTCATATTACTTAAAGCAATCTTAATTACCGGTAATTAAGAAAGCAAAAGATATTTTATGGTATCCAGTCCTTAATCTTCCTTTTTTAAAATATATTTTTATTTGCAATTTTTGAAAGTCTAAGCATAGTTAGATTAACTTTCGATCAAATAATATTTGATTTTTTGAGGCAAAATTTTTTTCTAAAAATACTTTTGTAAAGTCATTCTTCAATTTTGTCAGAAATACTTTTAGAAAAAAATAGAGATAAAATTTTTCATTAATAAGCGTAATGTATATTAATGGGATAATAGTTTGATTGAAAAATCAAAATTTGACAATAATTTGCAAGTAATATACATTTCAATCAAAGGCATTGATAAGTTGAAATTTGTGGTCTGTGAAAACTATAAAATTATATAAAAAATGAAAAAGGTGTAAATATGATGGATATTTAATCAAATTTAAATTATTCATACTGTAGTGAGAAGGAAAGATTAGAGTGAAGAAAAAATGCCTTCACGAAAGTAAATCAAACAAAGCAATGAATAGAATACCGATTCTGAGTAACTCTATTTATTTTATGCAAATGTAAAAGAATGAGTTATTGCTGTGAGTTTTGATTCAGAGGCAACGGCTCTCAAATTAGATCAAATCAACGATTGAATATAACAAAGTCGCATTATTGAATAAGCAAGTTTTACTGAAAATTTTGGCAATTTTGATGGTAAATTTAGAGTAATCAAACACTTCAAATGAGTAATTCTGCACATTTGTCTGAAATTTTTTCATTGAAGCAAAGCAGTCTGCTGAATTGAATATGCATTCTGAGACTTTTTTAATGCAATATGTGTATTTATAAAATTCATAAAAAAAGCAGTAATAAAAAGACACTTTACAAATTTTGAACATTTAGTAGAGATGATATAAAACTGCATAAAAATTTGTGCAAGGAATTTTCAAGCATTAAAGTTAGACATGTTTTAAGATCAAAGTGAAGAATAAGCTTTTGCATACTAGCAATTTCCGTGATTTCTACGGAAAAGCACAATTTATACTTCTAAAAGCGCATTATCCTTTTTTGTTATTTTTAGCTTTTAAGCAATTTATAAAATTTATTACTACCGAAATTATTTTGATTTGTTCATTGAAAATGAATAAGATCGTTTTAAAGATTATACACGAGATAGGATGAAAAAATGTGCCAAAAAATAAATTTTGCACAAGTTCTATGCATATAATCAGTAATTCATTTGCTTACAGATAGATCGCATTAATTAAATTTACATGCAAAAGTTTGAAAAAGTTTGGCGTTGAGGAAGAAATTCCGCCTTAGCAAACAGAAACTGATAATTAAAGTAATATGCACTGCACTCAATTTCTGCAGATAAAATGAAATACGCGGGTCACATCCGTAAAAAATTACAGTGTCTTTGGTGCTCTGTTAACTTTGCAAATATTTTTTTAAATCGATCATTATATTAGTCTAAATTTCTATGACAATTTGACCTTAACTCTTTATTTTTATTGTTAGTTTTTGTACTTTATATTTCAAAAATTAATTTTGAAAATAAATAATTCACACGAGAAAGTAATAATTTTAAATTACAACATTCGTGGTTTCTGCGTATTTTTCATTGATAATTTATGCATTTAATTCGGCATTTTTGTCTGCATATCTTTTTCAGACTAATAACATTTTCTTTGCATACTTGCAAAATTAGAAATTAATAATCCGTAAATATATAAGCAATAAAATTTCACTTTTTTTTGTTGAAAAAAATTGGTAAATTAAATTTTACTTACTAATATCTCTACAATCTTGGACAATTGTGATTGCTGACAACTTTACTGCCGTAAAATGTTTGCAAATTTTAATAATTTGAAAGTAATACAAAAATGACGACCACAAAATAAATATTTGGTTTGTGCTCGTACTGACAAAATTTTGCGATCTTACACACAGTGCCTAAATATTTTTTGATTTTAAATGAATAATACAATTTAATGATTATTTACGTGTAATTAAAGCCAATCTCAATAAATATATCCAGACCGATGCATTTACAATAAAGCATCATTGTTACTGATTCATGTATTAGATGCTAATTTAAGTTTATGTTCTGCTGGATTTTTTCGTTATTTAATTATGTTAATTGTGTTTAATTCTTCTTTTTTTCAAAAGCGAATTCAATATAGATAATATTTAAATTATTTCCGGATATAGTTATTAAATACTTTGTATATATTGTATTTTAATTTCAAATTTTATTTCGGAAAAAATATATAAAATTCGACATATGGCATTATATTTAACTTGCAAAAGGCCAATCTGCCAAATAAGTTCCTTCATTTAATCGTTTAATGCAATTTTCAACAATATAAATGAAGAGAATGTTGAAGAAAACGGCGCAAGCAAACAGAAGATAGAGTTAGAATCAGAACTGAGGTCAAATTTTAGTATGAAAATATAAAAAATCTTCCATCATTTCAGATTTTAAAAATCGTTTAATTGTGCAAACTAATTTTTAATTTTTGTGCATTTTTTCTCTTGTTTCGAATTCAAAAAATTATGCAAACAATTGATTTATATTTGGCACTCAAATTTTGAATATCTTCACTTCTACAATAACTGTTTCAATTTTTTTCATCGAAAATTTAGCTAATTACATTTAAAGTTTACAAAGACAAAACTTTATGAAAACTTTTGATTGCAAACAAAGAAATGAAAAATATTTTCTTGAGCAAATTTTATAAAATTATTTTTTTTAATAAGTGTATTCAAGTTATTTATTTATTCATTTACCTGCAAGAGAGACTAATTATAGCATTTCCAGTGATAACTTTTAACAGTTACAGACTGTTTTTAATAAAGTACTTAAATAACTAAATATCATTCCCAGGTAATTAAAGTTTATTCAAATTTTTTATTTACTGCACTATCTTGCAAGAAAATGCGGATTAAATTAAAGTTTACTGTAAAGGAGGGAACTATGAATTAC